TTAGTTTGGATTTGATTAAATAGAGTGGAGTACTGATAAAATTTCAGAAGAGCTTCTTTTTCAGAAGAACGTCCAATTTCTTAGTCAATCTGGAAATGCGTAAGAATGTCCTTTTTTAATGCTGTCACTTCACTAAGGTGCTAAAGAAGTTCAAAGTTGTTTTGGTTTTTTTTTAACTAGAAAACCTTCTTTATGCTCTTCAACTACTGTGCCAGTTGCTTGAGAAGTAGGATGAGTTTGCTGAATTCTACTGTTTCTTCTTATTTTCCTCTCACTTGTTAATTTCTCATTCTTTTTAAAATGTTTTCTTCCTGTTTGCTTCTCCTTTCTGTAGATGATGGTGAATCGCAGAGTGGATTTCACAAGAGCTGGACTTTGTTACTGGTTCTGTTAATTAGTGTCCCACTGCTTTATATCCTGTGGAGTGGTATACCAAGTCTTCTGAATGCAACTTTGTCCAGTAGAGATACTCAAATTCTGCAAGCATTTCGGGCCCAGATGAAGAAACTAAAGAATACTTATCAAAGTCAGGACCCTAACCTGTGGAAGAGAACCCACGTGTTCCTTGAGAAACACCTTAATGCTTCCCATCTGCATTTGGAGCCAGCCATCTTACTGTTCACAGCTGGCCAAGAAGCTGAGAAAGCACTGAAGTGCCTAAGCAACGAGATTGCCGATGCTTTTGCCTTCTCCCAGAATGCTACTACAATCAAAATTAATGGAGCAGACAAAGCCATATTGGATAGTGACGTTGTCAAGCTGGAGGTAGATAATGAGCTCAGCTCTGGGTTCAGAGAAGGCAAGAAGGTAGCAGTGGTGCATCGATTTGAGTTACTGCCTGCAGGCTCCACCTTAATCTTTTATAAGTACTGTGACCATGAAAACGCAGCATTTAAGGATGTGGCTCTTCTCCTGACAGTTCTCCTGGATGAGCAGTCGCTGAGAAAGAGCCTCACCTTGCAAGAAGTTGAGGAGAAAGTCCGGGATTTCCTCTGGGCAAAGTTTACTGGTTCAGATGCTCCTAGTTCTTATAATAGCATGGACACAGATAAGCTGAGTGGACTGTGGAGCCGTATATCTCATCTTGTATTGCCTGTATGGCCTGAAAAGGGCCTCCCTGTGGAGGGATGCACATAAAGGTTATGAGAGAGGACTTGGGAAAGGAGGAAGACAGAAAACGTATGTTGCAATGGCTGATCAGGGAAGAACTTACTGTGGCTGCTGAGCTTGGAGAGCATACAGTCCTTTCTGTGCAGAGAAATTCCACCAACTGGCAGGGTTGTTCCTGCTAAAGTAACTGGGACTTCTCTATATCAGGTGGCGCATAAAGCTGGTATTGCATTTGACAAGGTAATAGGATGCAAAACTATCACCTTCATCTGCCAGAATTGCTTAACTTTTCTTCTAACATAAAAAAGACCATAAATGTAAGAAAAAACATAAACTGAAAATGGTGATAAAGAGATGTGAGTATAAGCACAAGCTTGTTCTTGATCCATCTGATCGCAACATAGATGTCAGTTGTCTCTGGCAACTTCTAGAAACGGCAAAATCGCTTGAAAGATTTGTGACTTGTAGAGAACCTTTTAGCAAGCATTTCCTCCTTAAATGAGCCTGCCCCAACAGTTCTGGAGAGTGAGAAAAGCCGAAGTAGAAAGGATTGCTTAACGTTAGTAGTACTGATGTCAGTTAAATAATCCCTCAGCACCTCCTTGCCTCGCTGCTTCCAGGAATTCTCTGCTCTTTGTCAAAGTCCTGCAAGTCTTAAAATTTGGGGGGAAGTGATAAAATGTCAGCCCTGCGTGTGTACTAAAGACACGTTGCGTCTCCTTTCCAAACAGAAGTTTAGGAAGACATAGGTTATTTCTCATTCTAATAAGGTAATTATTTTTGCATCAAGAGAATTTATTTATTTGTGGTACTTGGTATCCTATAAAAATAACCTTTCTTCATATGTCTGCATATAACCTGCTGCTTGCTGTATAAGCTTCTAGTGAAGAACAGATTTACGATGCATGTTTTTAAAATACACTTTTTTAGCGTGCCTCATGCCAAGAATCCCTCACACCAGGTTGAAAACATATACTTGTTTCTATTGTATTTTGTGAGAAAAAAAACCCCAAAACCCACAAACAAACAAAAAAACCCCCAACAAAAAACCAACCAAACAAAAAAACACAAAAAAAAAAAAAAAAAAAAAAGACAGAGAATTGCAGTACTTCCATGTCATTGCTGGTAGGTATGCTCTCTTGAACTATTGGTCCGTGTGCATTTGGTTTACTGAGTACAAAGGAACACGTGAAGACTGCTCTCAAATTAATAGGACATTTTCTTCTAACAGCTGAGATCAGTGGCTCTTGGAGCCATCCTCTATTCACAAGCCCCTTGAGGTGTCCTGTTGCAAAAACTCCTTCTTAACCAGGAAAACCTCTTGAGGTGCTGGAGCTTCTGGCTTCTTTGTGCAAGCAAATGTTTGGGGTGTTATGTGGAATGGACCAAAATCACCTTAAGCATATGAAATAACACAGTTTGAGAGACACAGAGCTGTGGACACTTAAACCAGAGGTAGATTTGTTCTAACCACTGAGAGCCAGCAATGGATACTACTTTTTATTTTAATGGGAAGAAATACAAACAGTAAAAAGACATGGAAGTGCTGCTGTTCTGGATGCTTAAGAATAGCTCAGGAAGGAAAAGACGGCATTTACATTTTGGACATTTCACTGGACAATTTTTTAAAAAAAACAACTGTGACATTTCCGAGTGTGTCCTGATAGCATATCTGTTTGTATATTATGTAAAGTAGTAATCATTAAAAATAAATTTACTTGTTTGTTTTATAAGCTGTTTAAGATTTGCCCATTGAATTTTAAGTGGTCAGACTTTTTTTTTTTTACATGTTTAAGATTGTTGCTTTTAGCTTTAACCAAATACAGATGCCTAAAATACAGCCTTTTGCAAAGTTTAGAACTTTTAAGAAACTTGAGTGGGGTGATAAATACTGGGATGCAGATGCATGTATTTGATAATATCAGGGCTTGTCTCTAATGGGGCATAATTGGGGAAATTGTAATAGCTCTGAATGGTCTTTTACTTGGTGTTCTTGTGCTATTCCTCAGTTCTGATTTCAGCTGGAACTAATGATATGGTTCACTTGTTTCATTAGTCCAATACAAGAGTCAGCAGCTGACAAAAGGGATGACTTCATTCTTGTTCCACTCCTAGCTGCATGTTCCTCTCTCTCCACTGTTCCAAACTAGCACACTGTGAACTGAGTGGAGGGACGATCTTACTAAAAACTGGCTTAGAAAAAAAAAAAAGTATATACCTAGGAGAATTGGCAACCACAAAAGACACTTAAGTTATGACATGAAAGCAGGAGATTCTGTGCACTTATACTAATAAAACATATGTAATCCAGTTTATTTTCTGTTTCTAAAACTATGGGGTATTAAAGAGCTATGTTCCCCTATTCCAAGACAAAATAGGAAGGTGCCTGGAAACTAAAGATTTAGTGTCTACATAATACTGTGCCAGACAAAGGAGAATCACTTTTTTTTTTTTTTTTTTTTTTTTTTATGTGTCCAATCCATGGAGTTTTGTTCCTTTTGAAAGTCTTGCTCCCAGAGTAACTTTATATGCTTTATGGAGAAAGCAAGATTCTGTACACAGTAGCCCCTTCTGGAGGAGGGGGAAGGCTTGGGATTAGAAACTGTTCCTGCTGTTGAAGAAGTGTAGGTCCTTTTTGTAGCTGTTAGTACTTTGTCCTTAAAAAGCTGTCATTAAATATCCACAGGTACTTAATGCAGATCTCATTAAGTAACTCCTCCTCAGCCAGAGGTGAAGAGTAATGTCTGTCTGTGTTGCTCACAGGCAGCTGATTACTATCCTCCTTGTATAATTATTTCATGGCCTGCAGCAAATGTAGCCATTTGACATTTTCCAAACTGTAAAATACTTTGGCTTCTTCCAGAGAAATCTCGCTTCTGATGTTGAACTGTCCCTAACTGTCAGCAGCTCAGCAAATTAAATAGTCTGTGACAGCAAAAACGTGCTTATGTAGAGTGAAGACACCTTGGGACTGAGAAGGGGATTTTTTTGTCCTGTGTGCTTACAGCATACAAACTGTGGGCAGAACACGATCTTTGGGGAACAGAACCAGCTACATGCCAATCTGCAGACAAAACTTCCAGCAGTCTGCAGGTTGGACTGGAAAACACAAACTGCTCCTTGGGTTACGAACAGACAGACACACACCCGCAGCTGGTGAGAGCCCCCTTGCAGGTACTCAGCCCAGGCGGAAGGAAGGTGGAGTGTGACCCCTCTTCTGCTGCTCCTTGCTGTCACCTCCTTTGAGCACCTGGAGGATGGCAACACCCGTCTTGCCTTCAGCAGGGGATGTTGTAAAGGGGAGCTAGAACAACATGCAGCTCCATCTGTTGTTACCTTGTCTCTCGCACCCTCTGGCTCTGAGTCACGTTGTGCTGAGCAGTGGAGCTTTGAGCATGCTAAGCAGGTTTGTTTAAAAGGACTCATTTTCCCCCCCCCCATTTTTTCACACCAACAAAAGCATTTGCTCATTTTCCACAAATTAAAAAGTCATGGTTTTCATACTTTTTTTGAAAAATGTTTTGAACTAGTAATTGATTCAGCTCAAACGAGCGCAAAAGGCAAGATGAGCTTCATGTTAAGGTAGGCATAAAAATGTTTACTGTACAGAATGCAGCTATATGCACCATCTGCAGTGCCATCGCCAACATGCTGTATTTACGAGAAAAAAAATCTGGGTTGGGAGGTGTGTAATGAGACATGAACAATTTGCCAGATTCTATGCTAAGACCCTGTAGCACAGCTGGAAAATCATGAGAACAAATCTGAAGTGATCCTTTCTCTTTTAAAAGCTGAGATCACAGAGAGAAGAGTTTTTCATGCATTGTTTCTGCTGTAAGGCAAACTGCAAAAGTGTAGGAGTATGGAGAAGGTGTGCGTGGGGGGTGGGGGGGTGTTGCTGTAGTCCTCACAGCTGTCCTGTGTCCTGTTTTATTGTCAGCTCCTGACAGTTGGATTTATAATTGAATGCCTGGACAACCTCATTCCATGTCCAACAGGTGGAGGCACCCTTCCCCAAATTCCTCCGTGGCTCTTGGGAGCCACGTCAGTCAAGGCAAGGGGGGAGGGAGTCTGGGGGGCTCCAGCATTTCGGCTGCAATAGCCAGCTGCCCCTTTCTAATTTTAGAAGGGGTGTGCAAGAGTAGTATGGAGTGGAAAACTTTCCAAACCTCTCTCTTAAAGCTGCAATAACCAAGTTAGTGTAAGATGAGATTGTGGCTCTTGACTTTTAACTTACTATCTGTCTCCATCCACCGCTCCCAGTGCTTGGGCAGGCAGTGCTTGCCGCGGTTACCTCCGATGCTTCGCAGTTTAGTGAGCAGTTCATCAAACTGGAGCGTGTCCAATTCTTCCTTTTCTCTCAGTGGTGGCTGTTTGCAGGTAAACAGTTGCTTTATTTCTCATCTTAGAGAATGTCACAAGGTTACTGCATTTTCCGTAAGAACATCATTCTCTTCTCTTTTTGTGTGATGTTTGCCTGTCAGAGCTTTATGCCCGTTGGTAGGGAATCTTTGAAAAAGTAATCCAAAGTTTTACAATTACGTTCCACTAACAGATACAGAGAATAAATAGAAGCCATATAGAAGCAAAAACTGCAGACAAACATTGCCTTTTAATTTTATTTGACTGACTGAAAACAAATGATTTTCATGTTTGAGAAAATCCTAATGTGATGCCTTGTTTGCCTGAAGATGAAAAGGAGGAGCATGAAACTAGATTAACTGCTTCCAAGCAGAAAAGAGAAACTATGTTTAAAAGCATAATTAAAGAGGTAGTGCATTACAAAAGTGCTGAATAATTTAAATAGGCTGCCAATCCAGCAATATTAAGCAGTAAATTTAAGCAAACACTAGGTGATGACAGGGAATGTAATAATTTAATTTGCCCTAGTCTGCGATCAGGGCTCCCATACACTGTAGTAATATTGTTTTCATTGACTGAAATTGTCATTAATAATTATTATTGTTATTACTACTTACAGTCTTCTGCATTTGGGAGGAGCAGGTTTGCTCTTTGAGGACTCGGGAGGGAATTAGGTGCCACTTACCACTTTTTCCCTTTGGAGCTGTGCTCGTCTTTCAGTGTTCGTGTATTTTTTCCCTCATCTGGCAAGCAAAATAATTTTCAAAGGTTTAACCACTGACATCTCAGGCTTACCTCTTGTTTCAAAGGAGGCATGCTTATGCTGGAAAATATATTC